GCTTCGATACTGCCTGAATATTTATTACGGTAATTTACTTGGTTGTGGGCAGCAGAAGAATCCAGGAAGCGCGTTTCGTACAGCAACAAAAAGTTATAACTTATACCCGTTGTACAAGAGCTGGCTATCGTGTCCAAGTGCCCTAGTGGATAAAGCTGTGGTGTTTGAAGCGATGGGTACGAGGCTTGAGTCTCAGTAGGAACGACATCGCTCACTAGGGTGCAGGTACATCCAATTGACGAGTCGCAAACAGGACAAAACGCGCGTCCTGGATTCTTCTGCTACCCACAACCAAGTAAATAAATATAAATGTTGAGTTTTAAATAGTGATTTCGATGAGAAAGAGAATTTCTTCTCTAGACCATCTAATCTTTTCTTGATGACATGGTAGTCATTTCTCATTGTCTCAATTAATACTTCTCAATTTAAATTAATAGTTTCAACCCCTCTTTACCTCTTTGCGAAAAATACTACTGATGGACAACTTGAGTAGCTTAAAACCACTCAGACTGATCTATAGGATTTCATCAACCAGATTAGAGTGATTAGAGAGTCGTTAGATCACTCTGATTCGGTTGATGAAATACTAGATATCAGTCTGAGTAGATTCTGATTAATCAAGTTGTTCAGTAACAGTATCTCTTGTTAGTTCATGATATTTTTGTGTCAGAGATTATACCTTATGGTTTTAGCTGATTGGTTTCCAGAGGAAACCCTGTTGACAGCATAGTTGAGATGGTAGTTGAAAAACTACTGTAAGAAATGTCAGCTTGAATCAGACAATGTGTAAATCATTTGCAAATTGATCATTCTATCTTTACATTTTACTTAGTGATAAATATAATAATAAGTTACATTCAGTTTTCACTAAATATTCACTCAATTTGTTAGCTATTACCGATAGGTGTGAATAGGATATATGCGAAAAATAGAATGACCAATCACATATCTAAAGATAGGGTAACATCAATTATTTTGTTTGAAAAAGAAAGAATGTAGGGCATACTCATAAGTATACATCTACAAGAAGGTATTGTTGTGCAAACACATAGATGTACATTTGCAATGGAACAGAAAATCATACCAAAGGATAGAACTCTAAAATCTTCTATAACTAGTTTCATCATCAAGTTTCTTTATTCGAAATTCAGTCATCAAAAAATAGTAAAGTCATATTGATGATCATAATGATAATTCACGATAGGATAAAGTAGGATTCGGCTTTAGATCATACTAACTTTTGATGTGCATAACCTAACAGCATTGGTCTGTATCTATGTTTGTGTACACGTAGACTAACTGTAGTATTTCTGTTTAAAAGTATCAATTATATTCAGTAATTTCTTTTCCTCAGTCAATAGAATAAAAATATGCCTGATTGATTTTAGCAACCCTAACAAGAATACTCTAGGTTAATTTGTGAAAATTAATCATGAAATTCATTGCTTTGATTACCAACATTTGGAGGGAATTTTGAGTAGTTACAATGCTAGTTTTTTTCGAATATAGAATGTTTCAGTATACTACTTTTATATATAACTGCACAGTGTATTTAGTGTTCAGTTGTTTAAGGTATTTGTCTAATCTTAAATTTCGAACACTTCAGAAAGTTGAAATAGCCAGCCGCCTTCACAGATTTTGACAAAACAATACGACACTGAATTTTGTCTGAAATATCTGGTGTTTTTATGCTATACATTTTGAAGAATCTTGTCACAAGCTTACTTGTTATGAAATATAACAAAGGATAGGTGGGTTTAGAAAATAACTTATCTGATTAAAAGGGTCGAATTTTTAGTTTCAAGATGAATTCGTAGACAGATATTAAAGCTGAGTTAAAAAGGGAAGTTTAATGTGACAACAAACTGGTATTGAATGCATAAATTATATTATATTATTATTATTTGTCCCTTGGGTTCTTAGTGGGACATAGGGCTTCAGTTTCACGTCGCCATTTCACTGTCTTCTCTGCACTCTTTTCAACCTGGCTCCACCACTGCCCACAAGTTTTCATTTCTTCTTACCATACCCTCCATGTCACCCTCGTCTCGGACGCCCAACTCGTCATTTCCCATTCGGGTTCTCTCGATAGCCTGGCCTGTCGCGTGATATGCCCGAATGGTCTTTTCAGTGTATGCCCAATCCACCTCCACTTTCTTCTGAATGTTTGTTGGGTGATAGGTTCTTTGTTGGTTCGTTACCAGCAGTTCTTTGTTGCTTATTCTTTCTGGCCATCTGATCTTCAGTATCCAGCGTAGACGGTAGCTGTTGATGAATTTCTGTGGTTTGTCGGAAATGTTTTACGTGACGCTCCAAGTTTCTGGACCATACAGAAGCACTGATTTGACGTTGGTGTTGAAAATCTGGATGTTGTTTTTTGTGCTGAGTACAGTAGATCTCCACACTGATTTCAGATTAATGAAGGCCTGTCTTGCTGTCTTTCCGATCCTGTCTTTGACGTCCTCATCGCTGCCGCTACCTGTAGTTGAAACGATGCTGCCTAGGTAGGTGAAAGAGCATACTTTCTTTACGTTTCTTTCGTTAATGATGATTAGTGCTTGTTGTTGTTGGTTGGGTATCTTCATCACCTCTGTCCTGTCTTAATTTCCTCTTCTGTCAACTTGTTGGTTTTTGACTATAGATCTACTAGTTTGTGCGACATTAGACATGAATCACCATCGACGAAATCAAAATCTTATAAGGTCTTTTCATCGATCCAGCCAGCGCATGCCCCTCTTTTGGCTTCTCACGGTTTGCTGCATGAAAGAGGTCTAGAAGTTCAACAAACCAAAGTATATGCTCTCAATAAGCTATGTAAATAAATTTGGATAATGTAATTAGAAGACGTAGATCATCTGAAAAATGTGATGTATTAGCGCTATACATTTCGAACAATCTGATCACACATTTACTTGTTAAGGCATTATATATGAAAACTGGAGGTGGGGAAGGACACATATGACATAAAGGAATTCAATAATAAGAAAGATAATGAGAGGAATAAAAGATAAGACTTGAAGACAATCTTGGTAATACGATAAAATAAGCATTACCAAAGTAGGCTTAATGTAAGGACAAACTGTTTTTGCACACACAATGGGGGGTTAAATTTATTTATGGCTAGCACCTCAACAACGCCAACAAAAAGTATACGCCCCTGACAGTTTCTGTACAAAATCGTAAAGCCTGTTTTGATATCAGTCCTGTGACTCTTATCAATGATATGTTTCGCAATGGATGATGATGGTTGTCTGCCATCTGCGCTTATGAATGTTTTTGAATCCAGCTGCTTTCGTAGCCATTTCGGAACACGTTCCCCTACCCTCAAGTGCATATCACGATTAGTCCTCCCTATGTATGTTTGTCCACACACATTTATAAATTTATAAACGCAGTAGAATGTGACGCAATCGTTTATACAACGTTGAGGTCTGTGTTGCAGCAGGTGTTTGGTCTTCTCAACTATGATAAGCTTAGCTGCATAGTACGTTTTGCTAACAGCAGATCTTAACCTTCGTTTTAATATTATGTTGTTAGATTCTCCTCTGTATGGTAACGCGATGTAAACGGATTTCTTCGAAACAGAGTAGAAATCAGGTTTGAATCCTTGCTGATTTTTGCAGTGGTTTATGAACTTCAATGGACATCCATTTCCCACATATGTTTCAGTTAGTATTTTGATATCATCATCCATTGAGCCCTCCGTACAAATACGCTGGATCCTTTTATTATCGAATTCCTTTATGTCATATTTATCCTTCCCCCACTTCCAGTTTTCATATATAACGCCTTAACATATAAATGTGTGATCAGATTGTTTGAAATGTATGGCGCTAATACATCACATTTTTCAGATAATCTGCTTCTTCTAATTGCATTATCCTGTGTAAATAAGTTTGAGGGGTATATGTAAATCTTACTTGTTACCCATTTCAGTTGTAGAGGAAGCTGGATATTTGTCGCCTAGCTCAGTGAGATCATTCGATTTAATTTTTCGTCGTAGTCACTTCGGTGGGTAAGTGTCAAATTAGAAAATACCCTATGTTAAGTTACTTGTTGCTTCTGGTCTACACACAGATTAATGAAATCAAAAGAACTTAAGAGAACACGAAGTCTAGTATAATATAGGAGCTATCAGGTTATCATTAATTTTGACTACTGAGCTTGGTCAACTGTCTGCCAACCATGCCAGCGGTAAGTGCTGAAACGCCTTGGTGCTACTGTCTAACATTGGCAGGAGGAGGGTTTATGTGAATGTCTAATTCTCAGTGTTTAGAACCAACAGAAGTCAACCACTTAGCAAAGTGATACAACATTGAGTTCCACCATATTTTTTAAGCTGGGTGTTTGAAGTTACGCAAGTTCGAACCCCAGGGTGAACACCGGTTCCCTCATCATTTCAGATACGCTTTGCTGATGAGCGCCAGAAAGAACAAAAACTAGTCAAAAATAGGACGTTCAGTTGATTGAATTCTAATATTTGACGCAGACATGAGAACTATCGTAAAGGAGTGCACTTTTCGTCGTACTTGGGACTAGTCGGCTGGATGTACCTGTTCCCCCCAGTTTATACCATGGTTTCTATTAGCATGCGAACCGGGACGCTTTGGCCTCTGAAGTAGCTGTTTGTGGGTTTGAGTCTTAGTGGAAACAATATCACCCACTGGGAGGCAGGTACATACCAATGACGAGTCTCTAAAAGGAGAAAACACACATCCTGGATTCCACTACTAGCTAATGTCTATCCTATTCGTAGTCAAGTTTCCTAGTAGAGAAATTTGCTGAACTTTAGTATTTATTTTGATACCTTATCACTAACTTCTACCTAAATTTTAATTTCTAAATAGAATATAGAAAAAATGCATCGTAATACATACACGAAGATGTAAAACTCGGTTTACATGCAATAAACTTAAAAGGCTGACCGATTAACTTATTATTTATGAATCACTTGCCTTTTTGTTTCTCTTTTTTGCTTCACTTTTAAATATTCTCTATAGACGTCAAAAAGAAATATCGTGTAAACTTGAAGAGAGGCATAGAAGTGAAATATTAGAATCTCAGGTAATGTAATATTAATTTGTTGAATTTTTTCATATCTAGATTTACGAGGAGTGTAGACTTATTGTTCACTCGTATTATGTCATACAGTTTTAGTTTTTCTAATATTTGTTATAAAAGATATGGTTGTTGATTTTTCTCACTTATTCAGATACTCATTTCAATAGTTTTGTATGTATCTACCAATGTGAACAAAATAGGAAATATCAACAGTAATGTAAACGATAAGGGCATGATTAATGTGTTCATCTTAACAAATCAGCTACTAGACCAATACGGTCTAACATTTCATTGAAATCGAAGTTCACTCAGTAGCTACGTACACATTTGTACCGTAGACAATGAGTCGTTGTGTGAAAGTTAATGACACTAAGTGGCTGGTCAAATCTCAGTAGAACTCATGATGTACTGGTTTGTAGTTGAAAGCTTAGATCAATCAGTCACAGCTGCACATTTCGTGAAAATGGTACTTCTTGACTGAAGGGGATTGAAATCAATGTTACACATTGTAATAGTGTCAAATTTTGAAATGGAACATAAAGTTTTTAAGTGACTATGGTCTGTTACACGTACTGCGACGTGAAGACAAGTCTGGCAAAAAAACAACGACGTCGCCGGTTGTCCGCTTTAAATAATGATGTACCAGTTATTTAGGGGGAAGAAGTGAACCATGTAAGTTCCACTGGATTCCAGTTCTATTACCAATTTCTCCAATGGATCATACTTCAAACGCTAAACACCTGTAATTTTGACTAACTTGAAAAATAAACACACTCCGGGAGCATTGAATATAGAGTTGAAAGTTCTTCTCTCCATGTAAGCTGTTCTCTTTAGATTTGTCAATATGCAACATACACCGCCCCCACCGTTTACAGTCCAGTAGCCTGAACCACTTGACATAATACCTTCTTTTTTTTCCAAGGTGAAAATGATGTTTTTGTCAATATACGTTTAACATGACTTCGAAAACATTAATATTTTGGTGACTGTCGAAAACAATGCATACAGTTACTCTTGTTAAAGCTGTTTCTTTTTTATCCTTCAATTATGTTTGCAAATCATGTGATGTTCTCTTGAAGCCTTTTAAAGTATTTTCTGCTCAGTGTTTTACAAGTGTATAATTAAAATCAAATAAAAACACCATAGTGAATGGTAATAGGCACTTAAAAAGAGAATAATGCATCCTAATTCCATAACTTTAATAGTCAGTATGAACTACAAATACTGGCACTGGTTAGGTGAACCCTCAAAGCGAAATATGGACATGTTTTTCTGTATGCTAGTTGGTTGGAGGCTATCGGCAGGAAGCCTTGGACCAAATCTTTGAGCTTATCGGCACTCATCAGCAAGGTTTATCTGCTACCCAAATGTAACTCATGTCCCACCTAAGATTCGAACCCGCGTCACCTAGTGTTGCAATCAACGAGGTTACCATTGGGTTGTTCGAGCCGCGACTGACCTCCTTTAGGACTAGATCACATACATTGATTGGTCATTGGCAAGCAACCGATCTCATGCCGTCCAGTCCTGAGTACTGGCCGAATTCTTTCGATCATTTTGCAATGTGGCCACCAAACTAAGTGGTTTACTATCGCCACCGCAGCCCGAATACCTCAGTGGCAACATCGCTGACTATAACACTAGGTGACGTGAATTTGAATCTCACAGGGGACACCAGTTCCCTCGAGATTGCAGATATCTCTTGCTGATGAGTGCGGGACACAGGTCCAGGAATTCCTGCTGATCGTCTCCAACCATCTAACATCTATGGAAGTGCACGGCGATGGGAATCCTCGTAGCTTGGTGGCCACAATGTGAATGATCAACAGGATTCGGTCCGCACTCAGGACTCGACAACATGAGAATGGTCGCTGTTCGGTGATCAATCGACGTGCAGACATGTCTAGTTATTTGTTGTCATATTACATGCCGATAATTCCAGACAGTTTCAAAAATATTTTCTAGAATATAGTGATTATTATTATTATTCGAAATTCAATGAAAACTCTAAGTCTTACGTCTCAGACAGTAAATAATCCTCATCTTCTGTTACTTTGTGTCATAACTACGTTGTGATGATCGTTGCTCACCTCACTCTCAATTCGTAGGGCGCAAACAACATTTTAACAGTGAGCTAAGAAGTATTACTTGTGAAATACCTTTCAACATAGATTATTAATTTAAGATTTCTAATAATATCCACGAACAAGCTGGATTTCGATAGTTCTCTTGTTCAATGGTATATTGTTCTATCATTCAGCTGCAACTGAGAGACGGGAACTACCATGAACTGGTGATTAGTGTGACTTTGGGAGAAAATACCCCAGCACCAAGCTAATACTAGAATTTCCGCTCTATGTGGCAAGTATCACGCATCGATTCATCGTTGACTTATCTATAGGCCTTGCGAGAAAAATATGAATTCTCAGAAGACAAAAACAGATTATTGAACAGGTGACACTTATTGCACGTTGTGTTCTGTGAGATTTCTGGAAATTGAAAACTTCTTGACAAGATGAATATATCAGTAACTCCCTTTCTTGAAAAAGCTCTAGAACATTGTGTCCAAATCCACGAAAATCTTTTCATTTGGCTGACCAAGACTAACTATCTGATCAGTATTTTACGATAGATTGGTTCAACATAGCTGAATCTGAATTCTCAGCAGCATGCAAAATAGCTTAAATCGGTTGTTATTGATTGGATCTCATTAAGTTTTGTAAAGAAGTGGGATGTGGTCTTATTGTAACTGTAAGAAGTCTTTCAGGTGACGTTTGGTTATAGAACATTAAGACAGAACGTTTGGATGACTAATCGTTCGATAGTTTATCAAATAAATAATATACCTCTAAGGAACTGTAATGGTTATTAAAACGGTATCATATTTTTTTAATTCATAGTTTTCCTAAGAATCTGTTGGTTTTTCACTCGCAGAAAATCACAAGTGAAAAATAACCAAGTTAAATTTGAAACATGCAAGAAACTAGTGATCGAATCTTGACTGTTCGTCAGCAGGTGAAACAGAGATATGTACTGATACTTTGTATGGATCACCTGTCTAAGCAGAATGTCAGTCGAGCCTAAGTTCCCTAGATAACTTTCAACTCCAAAGAACAAAGGAAATAAGCATAGCAGTCAGTCTAAGTCCCACTGCTTAACTCAGCAGGTTTTCACCTGACTATTCTCATGGGTTAGCATTGCGAAAAATGTTTTTATTGGAAGTATTTTCTTAATCCAACTGTTCTGGACATTATAGAAGGCCTGCTTTTAATGACTACTATTGAAAACAACGACTTTTATAAAATAGACGTTATTCTCTACCACTTACTGACAAAATCGCTTTTTTCATGACTTACCATCATTCCCAGATGGACGAAAAATGTATGACTAGAGTTTTCTTTCCTAGTGCTTATGGCGCTAGGGAAATACAAACTATGCAACAGAGATGGAGTGAACAGAGTAGTATGTGAATACCCGTGGTTTAATGCCAAGAAAATAATATTTGCAAGTTACTGCTGTTGTAAGTCGTTTGGTATTTGACGACACTTGGATTCTGAGGCATAAATGTCATCCCACAGACCAATTTTGAGGTTTACTCAGAGTTATCAAATAAGTAACGATGCCTACATCATTTATTTGTCAAACTTAATAAGTATGGGTAGAAATCCAAAAGCAATCAAAACAAAAAATTATTGCAAAAAAATATCCCTCGGAAAATAATCAGATTACAAATGAAACATCAAAAATTGATAAAACAAAGTGAGTAGTGAATCTCTCCTCAAGAAAATTCAACTCAATTGAAAAGAAAGTACTTGAAAAAGGAGTTAAATCAACCGTGACAGTATATCGTCTAAAATCTGATAGCATAACTAGAATAGAAGTTGCATTAAGCTCGGTGGATGCGGCAATTGCTAAACAGGTTAGAGCACAGTGTGCATCAGCACTGGAAAAACAAAAGAGGATAAAACGAAACTTAGCGAAACTAGAGAATTTGGCTCTGAATAACCTACAAAATGATAATAACCTAGTAATGGTAATTCAACGGTAGTTATGGATAAGTCAGATTATTTCAACAAAATTGACGAACATATCCAAACAGGATCATATGAAGGGATCAAGAAACCTGTGGACACTGTTATGAATAAAATTAAGAAATCTACCAATGATCTGATACGCCGAATGAAGCCATCTCTGAGTAGTTTGATTTAATGCCTAAAAACTAATAATCCTAGCAGAATTTACTGTACTATTAAAGTTCATACACCACGTTATCACATTAGATCGATACTTGTCTTCAGAAATACTTCAGCGTATGAACTATTAAAGTACTTGGTATCCATATCACGTTCTACTGGGAACTGTTCAAATTCTCGACTAGTCAATTCCTACAAGTTAAAACTATACTTAATGACCTACATATAGAAGAGGATGTAAAATTGGTTAGTTTCGATGTAACAAGTGTCTATACTAAACTGTGTAGATATCGACTGATGTAAGCATCTAAAGCATACCCTTAGGCCTGATCTCTGCAGTCTCCAAGTTACAGGACAAAATATATTAGTAAACAGAAGGAGTACCAATGGGATCACAGATATCCCTAATGGTAGCAGATACATTTAAGGATAGTTGGGAAAACATGGCTTCACAAAAGTTTAATCCTGTACCTAAGATATGGTGGCAAAATGTGGATGACACATCTACTATGTTGAAATCGGAATGCATTGACAATTTTTTCACATATATCAACTTAGTAGTAGGTGCAATCCAATTCACTTACGAAGTAGAAAATGAACAAGGAGAATTACCTATGCTGGATTCCAGAATAAGACGAAAGACAAACGGTGGTTCAGACACCAGCATCTGCAGGAAACCAACACATTCTGGCAGGTATCTAGATTTCAAGTCATCTCATTCAATGTTAGTTAAGTCTGGCAGAGTTAGAAAGCTCAGAAGCCAGTGCAAAAACCTAAACAAGAAAATGGAACACATAAATGAAGTCTTAAGAATTAAGAATTATCCCCTACTGTTCATTAAGAAATTCGTATCAACACATAAAAACGTTCAGAGCATTTTTATGTTACCATATAAGGAAGCAGCATCAGGAACTTTACTCAGGATTCTCAACAAGGCTGAAATTAGGATGACATTTAAACCTACAAACTCACTCAGGCATAAGCTTTGTCGTCTTAAGCAAAATATTTTAATCTGTCAAATGCCATGCAATGACTTTGAGGTTCAGTAAATAGACCAAACTAGTCGGTCGTAGTCAGTCAGAGTATCGGAACATAGGGATTCAGCCAAATATAGAACTACAGGGCCGAATAAGATCAATGGTCTAGAAAAACACTCGCCTATTGCAATGTATGCATTCATAAACAACCACACAATAGGCTGGGATAAAACTATTGTACTTAAGCCAAATATAACTAGGTAGAGAGAGACTGATTACTGAATGTGTGTTCATCGAATCAACACCCAGAACGTAATGGGAATCAAGCAACACCTATACCAGAGATATAGGAACTCTTACTACCAGTGAAAAAAAAGAATATGATGTGTGACAAGACTAAAAATTTCAGATGTCCAAAATAGTGTGACTATATTAGTATCATTATGAGCAATAATTTATGCTGGAAATGTTATCATGAAAATAATATCATAAGATAAAAAAACGAATCCTCATTAACCTCAAAATAATACTGTATCACTGTGTTCTGTGTATCAGATAAACAAGCCTGATATGAAATTAATGAGTATGGTCACATACGTTTCTCTACAGTTTTCTGTCTCGACATGCATAACTACCTGTGATAGAGGGAAAACCCAAGAAAACCGCATACACTACTATGCCTAGGGTCAACTAAGCTTTATAGGAAGCAAAGAACATGCGCTTAGAGATGTTTTATTCTGCCTGATACATTGCATATCTTGGAAAAAACGATTTCTAAATCCAAGCAAAAGAAACGACTAGTCACACTATTTATTAAAAAATGACGAGTTTGATGTTATTCTGAGATTTTACTCTGCCTTTTGTTGAATAATGTTACTGGACTGGCTAGTCTGTGTCAACTAACAAGCTCATCTTATGAATTCTAAGGTAATGTCCTGATGGCAGTCGTCAGTGACATTATGAACTGAAACTCGTTGACAACACGAGACAAGCACTTAGTCTATGTATGTGGATAATGGGAAATCCATGACTGCGAGAGCAATAAGCACAGACTGAAGAAAAGAATAGTCCAGTGAAAAAATCTTCTATGTCTAGTGGCCGGTGTCAGATCTGATTTCTTATGGGTCAACCGACACTCACTGGTATACAGATGCATTCAGCGTCTGCTTTATAAATAGAACAAATATCTCTGTGCATAGCCCATTGCTGATCTTTGCCAAATATTAATCACACTAGTATAGTGGTAGAAATTCAGTTCATTTTCCCCCACCAACAGTATTATTTATTCCTAAAACACTGAAACAGTTTTCTGGTTATCCTTTTCTTTTAGCCACCTGAACTTAATGAACATTCCTAATTAATATTGGGAAAATTTCAACTCTAAGTTGATGCCCTTTTAGTAATCATTACAACTCAAAGTATACTAGACAACCTAATTTTTATTGATGTAATTACTGTGAATAATATGTATTCATTTTCGCTTAAAAAGACAAATTTGATTATAATACACAGTTCCAACGCTTTATCGGTTATCTCAGTTTATTAACGAATCTCACCTGATAATGTTTAATAAACCCTTGTCTTCAGTAACTGGAACTAATGTTGGAAATAGCCTATTTATTACTTCAGGATTATTGACAAATTTTATTTCAATGAGCTATGGTAACCATAAAATTGTGAAGATTTCTGAGGTCCAAAAAGTCAACATTTTTATTCATGGAATCAGTTAGTTAGTTAGTTAGTTAGTTAGTTAGTTAGTTAGTTAGTTAGTTAGTTAGTTAGTTAGTTAGTTAGTTAGTTAGTTAGTTAGTTAGTTAGTTAGTTAGTTAGTTAGTTAGTTAGTTAGTTAGTTAGTTAGTTAGTTAGTTAGTTAGTTAGTTAGTTAGTTAGTTAGTTAGTTAGTTAGTTAGTTAGTTAGTTAGTTAGTTAGTTAGTTAGTTAGTTAGTTAGTTAGTTAGTTAGTTAGTTAGTTAGTTAGTTAGTTAGTTAGTTAGTTAGTTAGTTAGTTAGTTAGTTAGTTAGTTAGTTAGTTAGTTAGTTAGTTAGTTAGTTAGTTAGTTAGTTAGTTAGTTAGTTAGTTAGTTAGTTAGTTAGTTAGTTAGTTAGTTAGTTAGTTAGTTAGTTAGTTAGTTAGTTAGTTAGTTAGTTAGTTAGTTAGTTAGTTAGTTAGTTAGTTAGTTAGTTAGTTAGTTAGTTAGTTAGTTAGTTAGTTAGTTAGTTAGTTAGTTAGTTAGTTAGTTAGTTAGTTAGTTAGTTAGTTAGTTAGTTAGTTAGTTAGTTAGTTAGTTAGTTAGTTAGTTAGTTAGTTAGTTAGTTAGTTAGTTAGTTAGTTAGTTAGTTAGTTAGTTAGTTAGTTAGTTAGTTAGTTAGTTAGTTAGTTAGTTAGTTAGTTAGTTAGTTAGTTAGTTAGTTAGTTAGTTAGTTAGTTAGTTAGTTAGTTAGTTAGTTAGTTAGTTAGTTAGTTAGTTAGTTAGTTAGTTAGTTAGTTAGTTAGTTAGTTAGTTAGTTAGTTAGTTAGTTAGTTAGTTAGTTAGTTAGTTAGTTAGTTAGTTAGTTAGTTAGTTAGTTAGTTAGTTAGTTAGTTAGTTAGTTAGTTAGTTAGTTAGTTAGTTAGTTAGTTAGTTAGTTAGTTAGTTAGTTGTCCTTCTGAAGCAGTTTTCACTACCCTCATTTGCACTTTGAGTGCATTTAATCTAATTGTCTATTCTTTTTGCATTAATAGCAAACACGCCAACAGCAGAATGAACGAATACAAGATATTAAGAATAAACTTCTCCAAGAATATAAAAGATCTGAGAGCTTAGTAACACAATTTCATAATTTAAATATTTCTATTACATGTACATCTTCAAATGAATCACTTAATACTGTACAGAATAATTATAACAATAACGACAGCTGTATAAATACAACCTTCAGTGTTGAGAACAGTATGCACAATTGTGATCCGAAAACTGTTGTCATAGCAAACTGCTCACGTGAGTTCAAGAGATTTTTTATATTTTTGTACTTTTATTCATTTAACTTAGTCTACTAAATATTTTGAGTGGGCAAAGAAACACGAAAAGAAACAAATCATAGTCATTAATTCAACAGTAACCATGCTGTAAATTGAGATTTTAAATGATGGACTTCTCATTGCATCATGAGTAAATATGTTCAGTGCATTGACACTAGGATTATTGACTCAAACTGCCAGTTGATAGATAAAGCGAAAGACTTTTCAGGCTTATGAAAACTTTTTCTGTTTTGTTTTTTTCTAAACGAACATCCCAATATAGAAAACACACATCGAAGTTTTCTCAAATTGTGCCCATTTTCTGAATAACACTGAACGTTTTAAACCTGATCCCATATGAAAATATGGACATCTACAGCTTTGAAATTATTAATTGAATGAAAGTAGATTTCTTATAGCTCCTAAATTGTAATCGTTAATTTAATGACTTCAGTCAATTATGAGAACTACTGTACGGTAAGATTACTGACTATCTAATGTAATCATAATTTTCAAAAGGTTTGGCTATGTACATGAGTTTGAAAATATGGAACACTAAGGTGAACATTTCTAAGTAGGTAGAATAACAGTTGGTTACTTCTTGTCATCCGTAACTACCTACTTATTCCCATATTCCCGACAAACATCAACTACTCAGTAGTGAAGTTCAACCTACTTTCCAATAACATAATGGGTTAAACGAAATTCATGCATTCTTACCCCTAAATGCAACGTTTTGTTTATTGTTGTGAATCAGGCTTGTCTCTAGTCAACTGTGATTTTTCAAATTAAAAAGTCTGATGTTTTAAAGTTCTTAGGTAATAGTGTTAGGTTTTTGACCACTTTAAACTTTGATTTTTTTGATCATTAAATCTGATTTGGAGGTTAATGGGGATTTTTTTATTGATGTAAGATTAGTATTCACCATGGCTTGACGTCAGTCAGAGAAACACTGGACACCTTACAGCATCAGATAGCTGTTTTGTCCTAGGATGGGACTGCTCATCAGTGACAACCCACGACTCAGCCCGTCAGGGATTGAACCCAGTACCTTCAGGTCCCCTGATCAGCACTTAACCATTGAACCACTGGGTCGGAATCCAATGGTCCATATTTCCTGCTCCTATCAGTTCACGATATAGCACGACCTCCATCCATTACTGTCACAGAATATCTGTCCTCATAACCAAATTGGTTGATCCCACCGGTCTCTACTCCTCATTAGAACTTTGAGAATCATTTGTCCAGGTGAGGCAACAGTGCTAAATGCCATGATGAGTACCAACCTGAGACCAATAAATAACCCCGCAAGCCTCAATATTGAATTAATCCAGTGCTTATTGGTGACTAGCTTCAAGAAGTGATTCCCGAGATTGCAATGAGATGACATGATCTGTGCGGCCAATCAAGTCGGACATGGGGGCAGCTACTCAACGATGATATTGGACGGAGGTTGCACCACTGGATCCCGATGCAGTGGTTCAATAGTAATGTGCTGACCACGGGTGCCGGATTCGATCCCTGGTGGGGCGCGGACGTGAGTGATCACCATTGAAGAGTCCCATACTAGGACGAAACGACTGTCCAGTGCTGTCAGGTTCCCAATGCTTTTCCAACTGTTATCAGTCCATGATGACTACCGACCTAAAATTATATCTGAAGTCAATTATGAGAAATGTTGTTCCTACTGCTTTTAGTCCTTATTCTCTTTTACCTGTTGATATCTTCAGGATTATCTGACTGTGCATTGACTGGTCACTGAAAAGTAAGAATAACCGCACTTTCTAGTTGTAGGTGCCAGTCATTTACTATGGAACAAGTCCACAACATGCTCATTCATCTAATAGACTTGTCACTACGGTGGACTCTTTCGATACTAAGTTACTAGACACAACGAATAAGGGACATTTTCCAATGTTCTCAGTAGTCCAAAGAAGTACCAATCAAGTTAAAGTTACGAGTAAAAATGATTCTGAAACACTCTTTTAAGATCACTGTTACCTAGCAACTGTTTAACTTTACTCTTCTATTGACTCGATGTTTGACGTTAAATCTTGAAATTCGTTTTCTCTTTTGTTCTTATGGCTTTCTTGTTTACCATTGGTGATAAATCACTGGACAGATATTTTCTTTCTTCACCTAGCTTAAAATAATGAAATTATCGACCGATAGAATACAGTGTACACTGGTATTTGGAGTTCATAAGTGACACCTTCAACCAGTAAGAACTGAGTTGTGTAAAGGGTTACACTATCGGAACTTGGTATAAGTGGAGTATTACTCAAGGTTTGATCTTTTTAACTTGTGAACTAACCATTCAGTATCCAGACTACACTTTAAAAAAGTCAAATGATTACTTCAAACAGAGTGTGATTACTTTTACTAGTTAGTAGTATATATCTTTGTCATTCGTTTTCGTTGTTTCGCATTTGTTGTTATCACTAGCTAAAAATAGTAGAGCATTGAAGTTATTAATTACTTACTCAAGTTATAATCTGCTGACCAAATATTGTACTGATTTGAATCCATATGACTGGTTGTTAGGTATTCTCTTTTTTCCAGTTTCCTATGAAATTCTTAACCAAGTATCTATTCCAGTTCTCGTTGTTAGACCTTTTTGCAAACAAAGCCAATGGTAACTTTCACATAAAAAGTTCTTCATTTATGTAGATACTCAAATATGACTGTCTGTCACAAAATATAAATAGTCATTTTGTAGAGTTTATTAAAAACAGGACTGTTTAGGTCATTTGTTACTTACGATGTGTAAAATGAACATATAATGCCCAGTAAGAACATTTAAGCCAAGACTTTTCCTATGTCTGTTCAGTTGATGTTGTTGACATTTCTTTTTCAAAAATGAGAATCTTACACTTTTTATATTTAGTTGACTTGACTAATTTCAGCAAGACAAGAACCACAATTTTCTTGCTTTGGATGACAATATCACTGCAGACAATGTGAAGCCTTGAGCCAGAACTAACAATCTTATCAAAATGTGTCATTTCTAACACTAAAGAAAAGATTACATACTTCAGGAAATATAAAGATGATAGGTCTCATACAACTCCATCATTTCTCCTCATTGTTTTTTCTTTCCTTAACCCTGTTTTTAACAAAGAAAAAAAATAAGAAATCAATCAGTCTTTAAAATGGTTGAGAAAAAATCAATTGAGTTTTATGTGACCTTTTATGAGATATATATATATATATATATATATATATATATATATATATATATATATATATTAGGGAATAAAGTGGAATTCCTTAAGATTAACGGAAAGTAAAGCTTTTGTGTATAAGCGAAAATTTCCGGTATAAAATATACGTCGATAAAAATACCTGAGAATTTCCTTCATCCCGTCTGTAAATAAATACTCTATTCAACTGTAGAAAAAATATCATCCTTGTTATCGAAACCGACTCATTTTTGTTATTGTCTTGAATTGGTTTTAATTCAAGAGGATATTTGGAATTGTGTGAACAGCTTTAGTTTTCTTGACTTGACGTTTTTTTTTTCCTGTGCAACGAAATGATACAATTGTGCTTCTATACCCTTGATCAGCTAGATGTTCTTATGGAAGCCTTTGATCCGCCTTGAATATATGAAAACAACATAAGTGTAAGAAAAAAGAACTACAACCTATATTATGTATGTATGTATGTATGTATGTATGTATGTATGTATGTATGTATGTATATTATATGTACAAAGTCGCAAAGAATTCCCTATTATCCATTAAGGCTATGAAATCTCGACCTGAATACAAATCACAATCATCAACATGTTAAGAAAAACATCCAAAATATCAGTAGATACCTTTCAAAGACAGACAAACAGAGAGTGATAATTGATTAGTCATATGGTCTAAAAAGCATTTGAAACTACAGCTTCTGATACTATATTACCAACAATATGTTATGTCTTATTATTTTGTTTGGTTGATACGCTAGACTGACCATGACAGTCATAAGTCACAGTAGATGTGCGACTGAATTTTCAACCTGAAATTAGTTAAAACCACTTATTACCAGCTACCATCGAAGCAGAGAAAGGTCAATGTCCCTTTCATTCGCAAAAGAAATTTAAACAAATACAGTTACTAGGTTTGAAATCTGACAAGTAGTCAGTTCTTACTCTCAGTTTAATTGAAAAAAGGTACTTAATCTGTTGAAAAAAATAAGTGTTAATTTCAGATTGGTGTCTATCATAGACTAACATCAACTGAAGGACCATTGGAAACCTGGAAGAACTATATCATCCTAGTATGGGACTCTGAAACAGTGCTCATCCATGACCTTGACAGGGGGGAACCAACAACGCTTAAATTTCCTGGCAAGCTGGTGGATCCCGACCCAGCTGCACAATAGTAACGTGCTTGCCATGAAATTTGAAGATCCTTGGTTTTCGATCCCCAGAAGGGTCATGAATGCGAACTCCTGGAAAGTCCCAAACTAGGAACAATGAGCCTAACAGTACTTCCAAATTTTCAATGATTTTCCAACTGATGTCAGTCCGTTATGAACATCAACTTGAAATTATTCAATAAATGTTATTGATAACTGTTAGTAGTGAAATTTCGAGTTTTTAACTGCACATATGCTTGAATAAATGAATTATCAGAACTTATCAGGTTAAATATGATAAATAAAGTTGTTTTTCTACGTTTCCAAATAATGTATGCATTCAAATTATTCTCTTACTGAAATCCGCTTTATTTCAAATCATTTCTCTAATTTTATTTTAATAGCCTGCTGAAGATGATATCAACAGTAATGTATTCAATAAACAAATAGTAAGCAATCGAATTATTCCAGAAAGGTAATCTCATCCTAAGATTTACATAATCTTAATATTTTTAATTACTTTATATCCCCAGTGATTGTATTATGACGTCGTACATTACGTATTCACAGTTGGTCACTCATTCACAGTGGAAATATATCTTTTATTTAAGGATTTATAGTGATGAAATCCTGGTAATCTTAAAAGGGAATAATCAAAAATAATATGATAGAATAGTATGGTATAAGAAAACCCCTTCCAAGTTAGGTTTTACCCCCCCCCACCCTCAAAACCAACGTTTTTAGCATTTTTAAAATGCTCTTAAGTACAAACTTCTGCATAGCTGAAACTTCTTTATCATTTTTCAAAGAAACATATTTTAATCGGTATATTTTAATTAGTTAACTGTTAGGTATAGCAATGAAGTATTTTATATCACAACAGCCATTGTATGACTAGATTCTCTCAATCTCCAATTCATACTACATTCCAGAACTGTTTACTCATATAATTCTCCAAAATACTTAGTGCACAATCAATAATGCATATAGAGACCTGACGGTTAGATTTTCGCCTTACCATTCATAGACTACTTAACAGATTTAATCATTTAAGCCAAAAACATTTTAACACAATCGTCTTTTCATCTTTTTTTATGCGTTTCCCCAAACTATGCTTATTGATTTGATCAATTGAATAATATCAGCAATAGTGGACAAGAAATTATACAGCTGAGAAAACAAAAACTCATCATTTATGAGATTTACCAGGATCACTATCAACATATTTTGAAAAAACTGATGACATATCAAAAAACGCTTACTGAACAAGTGAGTATTTACTTTGTAACACAAAATATTATCTAAATAAATAATTATTTACAGAATTATGAGATAGAAACATTATAACAAATATGTTGACAGGACTCCAGTCATTACTTTCTTAGCCTATTTCATAAAGGTGAAAACATTGACATGGATTGGTTTGTAAACAGTTTCAGCCAAGTCAAGTTGGATGTGATTAAGTAGCTAGTTTTTAGCTTTGAATAGGAGATGCTTCTTTTTTGTGCAAATAAAGAATAGTAAGCAGTTGGTCTAAGATTTTAAGATCTATTTCAGTGACTCTTTTAAAGTAAACGATTCCTGTATTTAATCACTTGAGGCTTTCGTTTCTTTTCCTATCACTAAAATGTTTTCGACTGCAATGATTATGGTAAATTGATCATCTTTCATCGCTCAATTCAATGCTGTTCTAATAATTACCTTGTTTCATAAATTATAGCATTCTTATACATTTGGATTTGTTTACCAATCCATGCACTGTTCTGTTTCCTTCCAGTCCCTCTCCTAACTATCAAAAGCAGATAAATGCCTTCTGTTCCCTTTTTTTCTTATAAAATCTTACTGTTGCATATTTTGGTTTTTGAGATTTCATGTTAGATATCAAATCTATGCGACCATCCTGCCATTTTTAAGATAAGAGTATTTTAATAGGAATAATAGTACGGTTTTGATAACCTGCTTTTGAATTTGGTAACCGAGATGATTGTTGCCTTCTTTGGTATCTTATCTTGAGGCACCAAGCTTTTTTATACACTGGCCACCAAGTTACTCACCAAGAATTATTAAAAACATCACAAAGTAGCAAGTTCAATTTGTATATATTCAAAAAGAATGATCCACTAGTAACGTGTCATGTATATTTTTGTAAAGGTTAATTACAGAGGAAGAAATAAACATGTGCAAAATATTTTTGGAGAACCAATGTTACTTGCAGAATTTGGTCAACAGTGAAAGCTAAATGATGTGAATTCAGCAAATGGCCAGTGCCCAGTAGATATGCTTCACTTATTCTCAGAGAAGGTCACTAATAGTCGGAGTAGGTCAGTGATAGTGTATCTGTCCTCTTCACTGAACCAATTAATTTGAAATCTTTAAAGTTGCTTGAGTTTCCGTTGCACGATAAAAAGTGCTTGTGAGCCAACATAGAAGAAATTTTAGTCAGTTTGAGCTTCCTATTAAACACTACTGAACATGTTACTTCATAACTAGATTACTTTTTCTGCCATATTGTAAAAGTGATTGACGCAACTCCGTCAGCAATAATTAATAAACATAAGAACATTTAGAAATTTAAAACAATTAGTTCCCTTTATAAACTTAGATAGAACAATAAGAAGAAGTGAATTGTCTTAACCGTGTATTGTATTTGCGCAACAAACTCAGAACTATCTAATCACATGTACTTGTCATAGATATTTATATGAAAATTCATGAAAATAAGGGGTGAGAAAATGAAAAGGGGTCAAGTAGGAAGGCTGAAATAAGGGCCAAATAACAATGAAAATCAAAAGAGCGAAAATAATAGTACATCAAACCTGGCTTTCATAGTTTAATTCACCTTTGTACGGAAGACTGATGAAGACATCTTTCTTTGGGACGAGGTGACTCTCATTGCGCAATCCCTCAGCAGAGACTTAACGCTGCTATTAGAAGGACTATGCAACTAGGGGTCGATTAATAAGGACCATTAAGCCTGCATATTCTCCTAAACCCTTACAGCATGTGAATGACAAAGTTGCATCCCATGGCATCTACTAATTCAAATGTACGTATGGTGACACATACATAGGGGGGACTCATAGATCCATGAAAGTAGGGCGCTCGAAAACATGTTCCGAAGTGGCTTCAAAAGCAAATTCAATCACCTGAACCCATAACCATTGGTAGCAGACGTCTAAGTTCTACGATCGTGAAGCATTCTTGAGACAGGTCACAGTAGTGACATGGCTACTTCCTCTAGACCTATTTGTAGAACGTGTTGGGGACGGACCCTTAAGTTTGTTGAAGCTTTAGCTATTAGGAAGTCTAAACCACCTTTCTGTGTTCATAAACAACTTTTAATCACATTAAATCTCCCTTGGTGAATTCAGCTATGAAAACCAAGTTCGATGTACTATTATTTTCGCTCTTTTGATTTTCATTGTTATTTGGCCCCTTATTTCAGCCTTCCTACTTGACCCCTTTTCATTTTCTCACCCTTATTTTCATGAATTTTCATATAAATATCTATGACAAGTACATGTGATTAGATAGTTCTGAGTTTGTTGCGCAAATACAATACACGGTTCAGACAATTTAATTCTTATTGTTTTATCGACAAGAATATTCGTTATTTTACAGTGACCATTTAGTGTAGGCTGGAATATTTACGGCTTCTCCTACGGGAACTCTTCTTATTTAAACAACGTAAAAGGGAGACGGAGATCATCTGAAACATGTGATGTATTAGCACAATACATCTCGAACAGTCTGATCAAACATGAATTCAAATAATTTATATAAAACTTTGAAAGGTTAATCTAGCCAATGGAATGATAATTAAGAAAGATAACAAGGCCAGAACAAAAACAAGAGTCGAGCTTAATACTACCAGGGTAGGTTTAGTGTAAGTACAAATTGTTTCCGAATACATAGAGGGAGTTTGAATTGATGGCTGGCAAGTGCTTCGACAAATCTAAATATTCGTTTTTGGCCATATCTATACAGCACCGTAAAGGCTGCCTTCATATCAGTTTTGTGACCAGTTTCTAATGTGTTTTGCTATTGATAAGAAAAGACGTTGATCACCTCCACCTATTAAACTGTTGAAGGTCATTTGTTTCTGGAGCCATTTAGGCACATGTTCAACCTTTCTTAACTGCTCCTCCCTATATATGTGTACCCATGCATACGTGTAAACTGATATTCACAATAGGATGTGATACACTGGTTCAAGTGCTGTTTAAGTTCGTGGTGAAGTATGGACTTTGTCTTCACTAAGATGACTTTGGTAGCTTAGTATGGCGTGCTAACAACCTATTTGAGCCTTTTCTTCAAGATTAGGCTATTCGATTCACTCCCGTATGGCAAGGTGATGTACACATTTATCTTAGGGACAAAATACTGATTAATCGGTGTCAATGTTATGCCGATTTTACACCTGTTGATAAATTTTAATGGATATCCATTTTGTGCTAATGTATCCGACAGGAATTTTGCTGCTATTTCTTTTTTGTCATCTGTGCAAATAATATGAACTCTATTAAATAAAAATTTGACTAAACCACGCTTGTGTTGGACTGGACAGCAACTATGGCAACTAAGGTGTAGTTCCGTTCAAGTCAGCTTCCTGTGGATAGATCTTCTGATTAAACCATCCCCTCTGCGACTAGTCAGTATATCAAAATTTGGTAGTTTGCCATTCACTTCTTCGTAAGTGACTTTAATGTGGCTGTGTGCATTACTCATTTAATCGAACAGGTTCATTGCCTCCTCATATGTACCACAAATAACGAGAATGTCACCCATATATCTCTTGTAAAACCAACCTTTTCCAATCACTTCGGCTAACTGTTCAACGTATGACATATACACATCAGCCAACAGGGGATCTAAAAGACTACCCATGGCAACACCACTAATCTGTCGGAAATATTCGCTCTCGAATTGGAACTGGACGTTATCAGTACATAATAAAAATAATGTCTTTGAGAGTTGTAAAGGGAATGGGGAGTAAAAGATTTTTGGAAGAAACATAGTCACAAAGAATATCAGTTATCCTAGTCAAGGGTATATTAGTAAATAAAGAATTCACATCAAGAGAATATATAGTCTTATCCCTGACATTGATATCATTTAATTGGTCAATAAGCTAAAATGTATCTTCCAAGGAAAACTTACACACCTGGCTTCTAATAAGATTCAAGAGTTTTTCCAGCTACTTTGCCAGTTTATTCATGAGTAACAGACACATAGGCGATATTGGAAGGAATAGATTATTGGCTTTGCGCGTTTTGGGAACTCCGTATAGGTGTGGATACTCAGACCTCATGGGTTTCAAGTAGCTGAAATCCTCTTTATTAACAGAATTCATCCTGAGCGGTTTCAGGAAGAGATAATTTACTCTTCGTTCCAATTTACGTATTTCCTGAGAGGGAGCATCAGCCATAAATTTGCTTTCATCACCAAAGATGGATAATATGATGATATCAGGATTATTTCGCAATCCTTTTAATCCTTTGAAATGCTTAGGTGTTAAGATACTTCCGTGCCTCAAATGAGGATTGTAGAATCGGCGAGAAATATCGACTAACTTAGCTCTGAGCCAACTTTGACTATCCGAAGAAGTTGAAACAAGTGAACTTAGCTGATCAAAAATATTTGATCAGAAATTTGTGTTGGAGGAACAGAAAAATCAAATCCAACGGAAAGTGCCTGATTCTGTTAAATAGACAGTTGAACCGAAGATAAATTAGTTACGAATTTGTCATGATCGACCGGAAATAGATTTACATAGTCAATCATTTGAGATTTATCTTCTTACTTATCTAAGAAGTCTGTCTAAATGTCATTTACTCCATAGAATCTTGCTTTCAGCCTCAGCTGAAGCTATCATTCACAAATATCATAGAAGAAAGCATTAAGGAGATAACAGTTCCGTTGAAAACTCTAACACATTGCTTGTATAAAAGAATTATTCATCTTGAACCGACATCATTTGGAGGACCATTGAAAACCTGGGAACAGTGGACAGCTGTTTAACCCTGCTAGGAAACTTCTCAGTAGTGTGCACGCACAACACTATCAGGAATCCAGCCTGTCAGATCTAATGATAAGAATGTTACCATATAAAGACCAAACATCCCCTTCAGTGTTTCCAGCTTTTCATTGGTTCAAAACTAATGTCAGTTCGTGACGAAATCGTTCCTCATAAACTTAAAAATTGGACATTGTTTATTGTTTTTCGAACATCTGTTCTTCATCACCACATGTTTAAACTATTTCATAAA